TCCACACTCCCAAAGTATCTCATTTGTCATGAGCCATGAGTGTCACTTTTTAAACTTCTTCCCTGAATGCCCAATCTACAGGGAAGAAGCTGCAGAGCAAGGGCAGAAGAGTCTAGACCAGGTGTTGGCAAACTATAGCTCATAGACTGACCACTTGTTTTGTTTGTTTGTTGTTTTTTTGAGACAGTCTTACTCTGTCACCCAGGCTGGAGTGCAATGGCATGATCTTGGCTCACTGCAACCTCCACCTCTTGGGTTCAAGCGATTCTCCTGCCTCAGCCTCCCGAGTAGCTGGGAGGTCAGGCACTCACCATCACGCCCGGCTAATTTTTGTACTTTTAGTAGAGATGGGGTTTCACTACGTTGACCAGGCTGGTCCCGAACTCCTAAACTTAGATGATCTGCTGGCCTCAGCCTCCCAGAGTGCTGGGATTACAGGCATGAGCCACCATGCCTGGTCTGTAAATAAAATTTTATTGGAACACAGCCATGCTCTTCTGTTTACATCTTGTCTATGGCTGCTTTAGTGCTACAATGGCAGAGTTGGGTAGTTGGGACAGACACCATGTCTGTCTGTTGGGACAGACACCACAAACTCCAAAATATCTACTCTGTGGGTCTTTACTGAAAACTTTGCTGACCCTTGGTCTAGACAAACAGTCAGATGAGCTAACTGTTGGCTAAAGGTCCTCAACTCACAATGCCAAGAGAAAGACTGAGTTGGCTTTAGCTGTTGTCATGTGCTGCGTAATTTAAAAAATCTTACAAGCCAATGCAACTAAAACTCCTATTTACCTTACTTTGGAGCAATAATATGGAAAGTAAAACTAGGTCTGAATATATTTAATATATTACCTGGACTTCTAAAACATTGTTGATTGCTTAAATGTGCATAAGTCAATGTCATTTCTCAAAACGTTTAATAGATGCAACTGTTGGCAGCTGCTAAAGTACTGGTGTCATGCTTGTGCCTGTGTGAAATTCTGCACTGCTGAAAACCTCATGCACTCTAGCTACGAATGTAGGTCTACTTGAAGCAAAACTCTTCAATCTAATTGTTTTCCCAATCTTTGAAACCAATTTTAAGAGTCACCAGAAAACTGTAGTTTAAGGCACCAGATACATTTCTCCGCTGAGCCTTGTAGTACCAATATGCTGGACCAGTTCAGTAAAATATGCCATAAATTATGACTGCTTTATCTGAATGCGTGGGACACTTTCTACAATGGTGGGAATTATTACCAGGAGTTTAGGAGCCAGACATGGGTTCTGTATTTTTCATACATTGGTGATCAATTCAAATCGCTTTCCTTTGCACCCAGCTTTGGTCAGTATGGCCAGGAGTGCAGATTATGACAAAGAACAAAGCTGAAAGACCTGAACCATTAAGGTTACAGTCTCAATACCACCAAGTTAAACAACCTATTTACATGCAAGACCATTGGTGGGAATGATATTGGATAGACATGTCAAAAGTGATCTGAAGGCTTTTATTTTATTTTATTTTATTTATTATACTTTAAGTTCTAGGGTACATGTACACAACATGCAGGTTTGTTACATATGTATACATGTGCCATGTTGGTGTGCTGCACCCATTAACTCATCATTTACATTGGGTATATCTCATAATTCTATCCCTCCCCCCTTCCTCCACCCCACAACAGGCCCTGGTGTGTGATATTCCCCTTCCTGTGTCCAAGTGTTCTCATTGTTCAATTCCCACCTATGAGTGAGAACATGCGGTGTTCGGTTTTTTGTTCTTGTGATAGTTTGCTGAGAATGATGGTTTCTAGCTTCATCCATGTCCCTACAAAGGACATGAGCTCATCCTTTTTTATGGCTGCATAGTAGTCCATGGTGTACATGTACCACATTTTCTTAATCCAGTCTATCATTGATGGACATTTGGGTTGGTTCCAAGTCTTTGCTATTATGAATAGTGCCACAATAAACATACGTGTGCATGTGTCTTTATAGCAGCATGATTTATAATCTTTTGGGTATATATCCAGTAATGGGATGGCTGGGTCAAATGGTATTTCTAGTTCTAGATCCTTGAGGAATAGCCACACTGTCTTCACAATGGTTCAACTAGTTTACAGTCCCAACAACAGTGTAAAACTGTTCCTATTTCTCCACATCCTCTTCAGCACCTGTTGTTTCCTGACTTTTTAATGATCGCCATTCTAACTGGTGTGAGATAGTATCTCATTGTGGTTTTGATTTGCATTTCTCTGATGGCCAGTGATGATGAGCATTTTTTCATGTGTCTGTTGGCTGCATAAATGTCTTCTTTTGAGAAGTGTCTGTTCATATCCTTTGCCCACTTTTTGATGGGGTTGTTTTTTTCTTGTAAATTTGTTTGAGTTCTTTGTAGATTCTGGATATTAGCCTTTCATCAGATGAGTAGACTGCAAAATTTTTCCCATTCTGTAGGTTGCCTGTTCACTCTGATGGTAGTTTCTTTTGCTGTGCAGAAGCTCTTTAGTTTAATTAGATCCCATCTATCAATTTTGGCTTTTGTTGCCATTGCTTTTGGTGTTTTAGACATGAAGTCCTTGCCCATGCCTATGTCCTGAATGGTATTGCCTCGGTTTTCTTCTAGGGTTTTTATGCTTTTAGGTCTAATATTTAAGTCTTTAATCCATCTTGAATTAATTTTTGTATATGGTGTAAAGAAGGGATCCAGTTTTGGCTTTCTACATATGGCTAGCCAGTTTTCCCAGCACCACTTATTAAATAGGGAATCCTTTCCCCATTTCTTGTTTCTCTCAGGTTTGTCAAAGATCAGATGGTTGTAGATGTGTGGTATTATTTCGAGGGCTCTGTTCTGTTCCATTGGTCTATATCTCTGTTTTGGTACCAATATCATGCTGTTTTGGTTACTGTAGCCTTGTTGTATAGTTTGAAGTCAGGTAGCATGATGCCTCCAGCTTTGTTCTTTTGGCTTAGGATTGTCTTGGCAATGCTTGCTCTTTTTTGGTTCCATATGAACTTTAAAGTCATTTTTTCCAATCCTGTGAAGAAAGTCAATGGTAGCTTGATGGTGATGGCATTGAATCTATAAATTACCTTGGGCAATATGGCCATTTTCACGACATTGACTTTTCCTATCCATGAGCATGGAATGCTCTTCCATTTGTTTGTGTCCTCTTTTATTTTGTTGAGCAGTGGTTTGTAGTTCTTCTTGAAGAGGCCCTTATAAGTTGGATTCCTAGGTATTTTATTCTCTTTGAAGCAATTGTGAATGGGAGTTCACTCATGATTTGACTCTCTGTTTGTCTGTTATTGGTATATAAGAATGCTTGTGATTTTTGCACGTTGATTTTGTATCCTGAGACTTTGCTGAAGTTGCTTATCAGATTAAGGAGATTTTGGGCTGAGACGATAGGGTTTTCTAGATATACAATCACGTCTTCTGCAAACAGGGACAATTTGACTTCCTCTTTTCCTAATTGAATACCCTTTATTTCTTTCTCCTGCCTGATTGCCCTGGCCAGAACTTCCAACACTATGTTGAATAGGAGTGGTGAGAGAGGGCATCCTGTCTTGTGCCAGTTTTCAAAGGGAATTTTTCCAGTTTTTGCCCATTCAGTATGATATTGGCTGTGGGTTTGTCATAAATAGCTCTTATTATTTTGAGATTTGTCCCATCAATACCTAATTTATTGAGAGTTTTTAGCATGAAGGGCTGTTGAATTTTGTCAAAGGCATTTTCTGCATCTATTGAGATAATCATGTGGTTTTTGTCTTTGGTTCTGTTTATATGCTGGATTACATTTATTGATTTGTATATGTTGAACCAGCCTTGCATCCCAGGGATGAAGCCCACTTGATCATGGTGGATAAGCTTTTTGATGTGCTGCTGGATTCAGTTTGCCAGTATTTTATTGATGATTTTTGCATAGATGTTCATCAGGGATATTGGTCTAAAATTCTCTTTTTTTGTTGTGTCTCTGCCAGGCTTTGGTATAAGGATGATGCTGGCCTCATAAAATGAGTTAGGGAGGATTCCCTCTTTTTCTATTGATTGGAATAGTTTCAGAAGGAATGGTACCAGCTCCTCCTTGTACCTCTGTAGAATTCGGCTGTGAATCCGTCTGGTCCTGGACTTTTTTTGGTTGGTAGGTTATTAATTATTGCCTCAATTTCAGAGCCTGTTATTGGTCTATTCAGAGATTCAACTTCTTCCTGGTTTAGTCTTGGGAGGGTGTATGTGTCCAGGAATTTATCCATTTCTTCTAGATTTTCTAGTTTATTTGCATAGAGGGGTTTATAGTATTCTCTGATGGTAGTTTGTATTTCTGTGGGGTCGGTGGTGATATCACCCTTATCATTTTTTATTACATCTATTTGATTCTTCTCTCTTTTCTTCATTATTAGTCTTGCTAGTGGTCTATCAATTTTGTTGATCTTTTCAAAAAACCAGTTGCTGGATTCATTGATTTTTTGAAGGGTTTTTTGTGTCTCTATCTCCTGATCTGAAGGCTTTGAAATGTCGTGAAGGGTGGGACTTATTGTTTGTGTTGGCTACAATGAAGGCTACCTCTTTCCTTCTCCTTTAAATATTAGGTAGATCATAAATAACAGATATTATTATGGATTCTACATGCAAATGTGTCTTAGTAGATATGTGATGAATTGAAGTGGAAAAGTCTTTTAGGGCACAGGAGGAGTTGGGCTTCCTCTTGAAGCTCAGGTTTGACCACTGGGTTGTCTTCTATGTCTACAGAATCAAATGGCTGAAATACAGTTCTCTAATCACAACTCTCCTTTTATCTCGAAGAATTTACAAAGCTTGAGATAATGACTTTGGGAAGAAATGATGTGTAGTGAAAGTATCACTAAGAATTTAAATGTGATTTTTTAGACTTATATGGAGAATAAGACATATAAACCCACTTGATAAATTATAAGATCTATAAAAAAAAGGCATAGGATATTAAATTTTTCTTCAGTTTCAAGTATAATAGAATCATACAGCTGAAGAAAACATCACCATTCTATATTTTTATTACAAAATAAAGAAACATTGGTCCTACTTTTTGTCTCTAATGCTTCATGAATTTATGTGTCAGCCTTGCGCGGGGGCTGTGCTAATCTTCTCTGCATTGTTCCTATTTTAGTACATGGGCTACCGAAACAAGCAGAGTCCTACTTCTTAAACTTCCTCTTTCTTACATTTAAAAAGCCCACCAGTCAAGGTCTTTTAATTTTGGTATACACCATCACTGAATGCCATTTATAAATTCTAATTTTAAAGAGACCCTTAATTTTCCAAGGAGGACTTTGATAGCATTAGTTTTCAGAAAAGATGACTTGCAATTCTAATTTAGGACTTGAAAGGTAAGATTTTTATAGGGAGGTTTATAAAAGGTGGCTTGAAAAAAATGAGCACTCTCAAACCTTTATTTTGGGAGTCAGGCTACGGGGCTGAAGTGTCTTTTTAAAGTGAAGCAACTGACACTACCCGTGGGAGAAGCCACCTATGCGACCTATGGCCAAACCGCAAATGTACATTTCTGTGCAACATTCCTGCTAGAGCAGGTGGGCTCTGATTAAGGTGTAGCTGGCTAGATAATCACTAGGGAGAGGTCCAGGGTGTGGGGAACACTTCAAATCACATTCCATGGAAATATTAGACTGTCAGAGCTTAGGAAGCCCCTGATTGTCCATAGGCGCTGAGGTGGGGGAAAGGACTGAAATGAACGCTAGCACATGTCAGCTTATAAAAGAGCTGCTGACACAAATTGAACATGTGCAATTTTTTAAAAAGGTGGTATCGAATAACAGGCCAACAGTCATCCCTCTCAGCATTTTAGACCTCTTTCTTCTCTCCACTTTGGCTGTTCGTTGAGTCACTTCCATCAGGCAAAGTTCCATAGGATAAGCTATTTGAATCTGGTTGTATTTTGTCCAACATTTGTTTCCCTGTGGAGATAATAATCATAGAGAATCTTTTGTGGTCTTACAGAAAAATGAGTCTTAATAATTTCTCCTCAATCTAGGCCACATTTTATCACCTCTCTTTTATACTATGTGGGCACTGTCTAAACAGAAGAGATGAATGTCAAGGAAGGAAAGGCCCTTGGAATGCCATGTCTCTAGCTGTGTGATAGCATGTTGTCTGTGTCAGAGCCACTGTCCCCACCCCACAGGATCGACAGGCTGTGCATGGAAATCAGGTGGGTTTAGTCTGGAGATTCACATGAAGCATTCACTCATCTCCAAGCCTTTCTCCCCAGGGTTGTGTCTTCTTTTCCATGTCGAATGCATATAACAACATAGAAAAATAGCTTTTGATAGTGGCTTCTAAAGCTGCTATGGAGTCTATGCACTGGGCTTTGTGAAATAAAAAATAGAGTTAAAAATAATCAGGCTGGGCGCAGTGGCTCCCACCTATAATCCCAGCACATTGGGAGGCTGAGGCAGGTGAATCACTTGAGGTCAGGAGTTTGAGACCAGCCTGGCCAACATGGTGAAATAGAAAAATTAGCCAGGCATGGTGGTGCACACCTGTAATCCCAGCTACTTGGGAGGCTGAGACACAAGAATCACTTGAACCCTGCAAGGGGAGGTTGCAGTAAGCTGAGATTGTGCCACTGCACTCCAGAACTGGGCGACAGAGCAAGACTCCGTCTCAAAAAAAAAAATAAAAAAATAAAATAAATAAATAAATAAATAAAATAAAATCAAACTTTATTTCCCACCAAAGAACCTCTAACCATATAAGGTTTCTCTCACATGCGCCTTTGCCACTGATGCCAATTCTTTCGTTGACTGCTCCCAGCAGATAAGATGGCTCGAATGTCAAAGAGAACACAGAATTCATTGCATGGGGCCATATTTCTCAGTCTTAGGGATGAGGCTTCCCTAGTTTTTGCTTCACAGGCATGAGGCTAACAGAATGGCGGAGAAAGCTGTGAGAATATCTCCACTCCTGCCTGGAAACCTATAGGTCCCCCCAAACCCCTAATAAGGCTGGAGAGTGCTGAGGGCGGGTGGACGGGGGAAGAAGTTACACAGCAGACTGTTTCCTCTGTCCTGGACTTGGCTTTTGTTGTCTACATGACTAGGTGAGTTATTTCTCAGTGAGAGTGAGAACGGGGAAGAGTGTTTGCTCTCTGGGTAGGTGGGGTGAGGAAGGGGGAAGAAGCTACTTGTGTTTTGGTGACTGTCCTGAGCCACAGTGCACAAGCCACCCCAGGCTTTCCCCAAGACATGTTCCTTAGCTGCCTACCCTTTGTCCTTGGATGTTCCTTCAAGGCTCTCAAAGTGGCAGGGGTCTGTTGCTGGTAGTCATTGCTACTCTTTTCTCTACCCTTTTCCAATTTAAGGAAACCCAAAAAGGAAATCCTCCAAATTACCCAAATCAAGGAAACGTGGTCAGTTCTTTTATATCCCCAGTTCTGTGCAAAACTAACATTCAATAAATTATTAGTAACATTTACACTGAAAATATCACCTTTGGTTTCATTATTAAATCCACATTTTTTAAGGGTAAGAATTATGTTTTATATTAACTTACCACCCAAAATAATACCAATAATTATTCATTTATAAGGATCAAATTTTCCACTATAAAGAATATATGATTTTACCAGGAATATTTCCAAAATCAATATAAGACTGTTGCAGATGTTCCTTTTCTCGATTTCTTGTGACCAAAAATACACCAAGGAATGACAGAAAACACCTGTAAGAATAATATTAATAAAGAATACAAGAACACTGAAACAGACTCATGATATTAAATAACTGAGCTCCATATTCTACATGATGACATAAATCCCATTGGTTTTGTTCATCCAGTTTCTGGTAAGTTTCCTAGTACTTGTCTTAATTAGCACAGCCAATAGTTCTACCCAGAACCAAGACTTGGGCAGATTCCAGTAGATCTCTGCCCCGGGTTTTTACCATCTGGGGGCTAATTCAGGCTCAAAAACCTTTGGGTAGACACCCTGTCTCATTTTCTACCCATGCACGCCCAGATCCATTTGTGGCATGTGACACAAGAGAAAAAATAATTTATTCTTTAATTTTCTAAGAAATCTAGTTGTCCTTGGCCATAAGAGTAGTCATAATTTCCAGACCTCAGAAGTTTGGCCTTGCCCAAATATCTTATGAAATTCAATTTTCAAGATAGATGGCTTCCTACACGGAAAATAGCCTAGGCTTAAGTTTGCATAACAATGGTCATGCTGACTATCAGATCAGAAGCAGCTAAACATTTAATGAAGTGCCTCATGGACTCATGGAAGCTCCTATACACTGGCGATATATTGTCAAAGTTCTGCTTTCTGTTTGCAAGCAATGCTAGCAATTATGCCCACCAAATCTCTAGGGAGAGTTCAAGCCGCACACTCTGACACAAGGAAGGGACACTACCAACATGATGTTATCATGACTAAAGCAAGGGATCTGTCCATCTTGGTCTTTTATTTTGGGCGACCCTAGAGGATCAGGATTCTCTAATTTAGATCTAATCTAGGGGTTCCCAAGAGTGAAGTAGGTCTGATACAGTACAGAAAGGTCATGGAGTAACTACAAGGGCCAGTGGATGTATCTTGTCTTTGGCCTGGAATTGAAAATCCCCGATGTTTCAGAGCTTCAGAGGAATACCTAGGTCACAAAGCCAAAGACACTGAGCCCCATGTAGGGCCTTAAGTTAAAAAACATGTTTCTTTTAGGAGCTCAGGAAACTGACGTTTCTTATATTATTTTCCAATTTTCTATACCTCTGGTACAATGCCAAAAATCCTATGTAAAAGTAATAGAATTTCACATACTTTACCTCTGAGGCATTTACTCACCCAAAAAGATATATAAATACAGTGAGAAAAGCAGCACCAAGGAATTCCTGATAAAATATGATACCTGTGACACAGGAAAAGAAGATAAAATTGATTTTGAAGTAAGGTTATTTATAATAGCTAAATATTGTTTGTAAACTTATGTTAATATGTTATTTTTTCAAAGTAAATTTAGTCACCCTTAAAATGCACATTCAGCAGTTTAGTTTAAGAAAATTTGCAGGCCACACATTCTGAATTATTCCAAAAAGAACATAGATTTGTAGACCTGATATAATTATCATTATTATAAAATCAACGTAATTGACATATATTTGCAAGCAGAAATTTCTCATCCAGTCCAGGATTGCCCCACTGGAACATACAAGAAAACAACACTCTAGTGACTATTCCCCACCTGCAGTTTTAGGTCAGGAGTCAGCCAGCCTGGCCTGAGAGTCTTGGTGAACTCTGAGGCCTCTGACATGGCAGGTCCACCTCAGGCCAGCTGCTGCCACGCATGCTGTCACTCGTGGCAATGCCAGTGATCTGTTGGTCTGGCCCCACGGCAACTCAAGCACCAAAGCATACTCTAGCAGCTGAAGTGCTACCTTAGCTCCACTTCCCACTGCCAACCCCTGTCTCATCTTCCTCTGGTCTTCCATAGGTAAACAAGGATGCATCATCTACTTTGATGAACGTTGCTTCTATCCCTGTTGGTCTCAATGATGTCTTCTGTAAAGTTCCAAAGCCTTCATAGAGTTTTTGTTAAATAAGATATCTTTAAGTTATATGTCGCCTGGAATTAAATTTTTTTGTGTGTGGTGTTATCCTTGCTAGCCAGCCAGCAAATATTTATCGAACGTCTGCTGTGTGTCAGCCACTGCTCTAGGTCTTGGAGAAACGACAGGACAGAGACCTATCCTCAAGGGGGTTTCTCAATCTTCACCGTATCTTCTTACCTAGGGAATGAACTTCTTACAGGAAGAAGCTATGTCCAGTTCTAATGAATATTTGTTGAATGAATGAAAGTTTCTGAAGCACACTCCAGGTTATTACATATTTCCTTATAATCACTTTAATGTTCTCATGTTATTTTATTTATTTATTTATTTTTGAGACAGAGTCTCGCTCTGTCTCCCAGGCTGGAGTGCAGTGGTGCGATCTCGGCTCACTGCAAGCTCCGCCTCCCAGGTTCACGCCATTCTCCTGCCTCAGCCTCCCGAGTAACTGGGACTACAGGCGCCCGCTACCTCGCCCGGCTAGTTTTTTGTATTTTTTAGTAGAGACGGGGTTTCACCGTGTTAGCCAGGATGGTCTCGATCTCCTGACCTTGTGATCCGCCCGTCTCGGCCTCCCAAAGTGCTGGGATTACAGGCGTGAGCCATCGCGCCCAGTCAGTTTTCATGTTATTTTAAACTGATATACCATAATATTCATTTCTCTAAGGGCATTTCAAGTTGGTTCTACATCTTTTTTCTCTTTTTTTTTTTTCATTTTTTTTTCTTTAGTAAAGCAGCAATGTACTTCTTTGTACAGGCGTATCTTGGAGATACGTGGTTTTGGTTCCAGACCACTTCACAATAAAGCTAATCTCTCAATAAAGCAAGTCATACTAAATTTTTGGTTTCTCAGTGTACATAAAAGTTATGTTTATACTATACTATAGTTTATCAAATGTGCAATAGCATTATGTCTAAAAAAAAGTACATACCTTAATTAAAATACTTTATTGCTAAAAATGCTAATGATTATCTGAGCCTGCAGTGAGTCCTAATCTTTTTGCTCGTTGGAGGGACTTGCCTCAATGTTGATGGTTGCTGATTGAGCGGGGCTGTAGTTGCTGAAGGCTGGGGTGGCTGTGGCAACTTCTTAAGATAAGACAATGATGAAGTTTGCCACATCAATTAACTCTTGTGAAAGATTTCTTTGTAGCATGCAATGCTGTTTGATCGCATTTGACTTACAGTAGAAATTCTTTCAAAATCTCTACTTAATCTTCTCAAACACAGCTGCTGCTTCATCAACTAGGTTACTGAAATATTCTAAATCCTTTGTTTTCATTTCAACAATGTTCCTAGCATCTTCACCAAGAGTAGTTTCCACTTCAAGAAACCACTTTCTTTGCTTTTTTATAAAAAGCAACTCCTCATCCATTAAAGTTTGATCATGAAGTTGTAGCAATCCAGTCACATCTTCAGGCTCCACTTCTATTCTAGCTCTTTTCCTATTTCCATCACATCTGCAGTTACTGCCTTCTCTGAAGTCTTGAACCTTTCAAAACCATCCAGGAGAGTTAGAACAGACTTCTTCCAAACTCCTGTCAATGTGCATATTTTAGCCTCCGCCCATGAATCACAAAGGTTCTTAATGACATCAAGAAAATCAGAAAGTTTTCAATTTACTTTGCTAAGATCCATTGGCAGAATTACTATCTATGACAGCTATAGCTTTACGAAATGTATTTCTTAAATAATAAGACTTGAAAGTCAAAATTACTCATTGATCCATGGGCTGCAGAATGAATGTTGTGTTAGCAGGCATGAAAACAACATTCATCTCCTTGTACATCTCCATAAGAGTTCTTGGGTGATCAGGTTCATTGCCAATAAGCAGTAGTATTTTGAAAGGAATCTTTTTCCTGGTCATTAGGTCTCAACAGTGGGTTTAAAATATTCAGTAACCCATGCCATAAACAGATGTATTGTTATCCAGGATTAGTTGCTTCATTTAGAGAGTACAGGCAGAGTAGATTTAGCATAATTCTTAAGGGCCCTAGGCTTTTCAGAATGGTTAATAACTCTCTCTCTCCTTCCCTCTCTCTCTCTCTCTCTCTCACCCAGGCTGGAGTGCAATAGTGTCATCCTGGCTCACCACAACCTCCACCTGCCAGGTTCAAGCAATTCTCCTGCCTCAGCCTCCCGAGTAGCTGGGATTACAGGCATGCACCACCATGCCTGGCTAATCTTGTATTTTTAGTAGAGACAGGGTTTCTCCATGTTGGTCAGGCTGGTCTCGAACTCCTGACCTCAAGTGATCTGCCCGCCTCAGCCTCCCAAAGTGCTGGGATTACAGACATGAGCCACCACCACACCCAGCCCAGAAACTTTTTTCTTTTGCCTTCACAACTTGGCCGTTTGGTGCAGAAGGTCTACCTTTCAGCCTATCTTGGCTTTTGACATGCCTTCCTCACTAAGCTTAACGGTTTCTAGCTTTTGACTTAACGGAAGGATTGTGTGATGTTTCCTTTCACCTGAACAGTTACAGGCCATTGTAGGGTTATTAAATGGCCAGATTTCAATATTGTTGTGTCCCAGGGAATAAGGAGGCCCAAGGGGAAGGAGAGAGATGTGGGAACAGCTGGTCAGTGGCGCATCAGAACACATGCATTTATTGGTAAGTTGGCAGTCTTACACAGGTGCAGTTTGTGGTGTCTCAAAACAATTATGGTAGTACATTAAAGATCACTGATCACAGATCACCATAACAGATATAATAATAACGATTTGAAATAATGCAATAATTACCAAAACATGACACAGAGATATGAAGTGAGCACATGCTGTTGGAAAAACGATTCCAGCAGACTTGTTCGATGCAGGATTGCTACAAACCTTCAAGTTGTAAAAAATTGCAGTATCTGCAGAGCATAATAAAATGAGGTATGCCTCATTTTCCCAAGTATTTTATGAATTTTCATGGGTGTTTTTAGAAGTGGAATTTCTGTTTCCAAAGATTTTCTTGGTCCTCCTAGAAAATCTTTATTTATTTTTAACTTTTATTTTTTTAGAGATGGGGTCCTGCTCCATCACCCAGGCTGGAGAGTAGTGGCGTGATTATAGCTCACTGTAACCTCGGACTTCCAGGTCAAGTGATCCTCCCGCCTCAGCCTCCTGCATAGCTGGGACTATGGGTGTGCACCACCACACCTGGCTATTTTTTTCCCAATTCAAAAACATTGTAGGCTGGGTGCGGTGACTCAAGCCTGTAATCCCAGCACTTTGGGAGGCCGAGACGGGCTGATCACGAGGTCAGGGGATCGAGACCATCCTGGCTAACACGGTGAAACCCCGTCTCTACTAAAAAATACAAAAAACTAGCTGGGTGAGGTGGCGGGCGCCTGTAGTCCCAGCTACTAGGGAGGCTGAGGCAGGAGAATGGTGTAAACCCAGGAGGCGGAGCTTGCAGTGAGCTGAGATCCGGCCACTGCACTCCAGCCTGGGCAACAAAGCGAGACTCTGTCTCAAAAAAAAAAAAATAAATAAAAATAAAAAATAAAAACATAAAAACATTGTAGTAAAATATACATAACATAAAATTTACTATCTCTATTTTTTTTCAGTGTATAGTTCAGTAGTGATAAGTAGTTCACACTGTTTTGCAACCAATTTCCAGAACTCTTCCATCTTGCAAAACTGAAATTCTACTCATTTCCTCCTCCCCGCAGCCATCATTCTACTTTTGTTTCTGTAAATCTCACTACTCTAGATATCACATATAAGTGGAATCATACAATATTTTTCTTTTTGTGACTGGCTTATTTCACTTACCATAATGCTCTCAAGGTTCATTTACGTTGTAGCATGTGTTATAATTTCCTTCCTTTTAAAAGCTGAATATATTCCATTGTATATATATACCACGTTTTGTTTATTCATCTGTGGATGGACATCTGGGTTGCTTCTACCTTCTGGCTATTGTGAATAATGCTGCTATGAACATACATATACAAATGTCTTTTCAAGACCTTGCTTTCAATTCTCTTGCCCAGAAGTGAAATTGCTAGATCATATGGTAATTCCATTTTTAATTTTTTGAGGAACTGCCACACTGTTTTCCATAATGGCCGCACCATTTTACATCCCAACCAGCGGTGTACAAAAGTTCCGGTTCATCCACATCCTCACCACCATTTGTTGTTTTCTCTTGATAATAGCAGCCATCCTATTGGGTGTGAGATTATATCTCATTGTGGTTTTGATTTGCATTTCCCTTATGATTAGGTGTTGAACATCTTTTCACGTCTTTTGGCCATTTGTGTATCTTCTTTTCAAAAACATCTATTCAAGTTCTTTTCCCATTTTAAAATCAGGTTATTTGGGTTTTTGTTGTTGACTTGTAGAATCAAAGAATAGAAATATTTTTAAGGCTTCTGATAAAAACTACAAAACTCAGTTCTAGGAGGGTGGCACCATGTTACCCAGCCCATAAGAGTGCCTGTGATACTGTAGCCTTATCAGCACTGGATAATGCAATAAAAAGAACAAACAAAACTTGACTAATTAGTAGGCAAAATATGGTCTCATCTTAATTGTAAGCTATGCTTTCTCATGGAGGCAGAGAGAAGAAGTAGTCAGCAAGCTCCACCACCATTCCACTCACCAGTAACATCAGAGGGACTCTTATGACTCCCAAAAGGTCTCAGCATCCCCCTGACTCATTAATTACTCTGTATGCTGAGTATTAAGACCCAGCCCTGTTGGTCCTCCTAGAAAATCTTTATTTATTTTTAACTTTTATTTTTTTTAGAGATGGGGTCCTGCTCTATCACCCAGGCTTCAGAGCAGTGGTGTGACTATAGCTCACTGTAACCTCGAACTTCTGGGTTCAAGCAATCCTCCTGCCTTAGCCTCCTGAGTAGCTGGGAATACAGGTATGTGCCACCATACCTGGCTGATTTTCCCCCTAAGTTTTTAGAGATAGCATTTTGCTATGTTCCCAGGCTGCAGAAAACCTTCTGATCAGGGCAACTATATTCTTTATGCACATTAACTATCAGGCTTATGTCATTTCTGTGACTCTTTTTGGCCTATTTTCTTTTTCCAACAATTCTAAGACACATCAATATGCAGTCTTTTCTTACTTTGTTAACTAGCTTAAAATACCAAAAAATTAGATGTCATGGGATAGAATCTTTTTCTTTAAATATTAAGTGTCAAGTTTGGGAAACAGAAAATGCATTAATTACTTTAAAGAACTACCCACTGACAGTCACATTGTTTTCCATAAAATAAAAAAAAATGTGTCATTTAGGAAACAGACAATCTTCAATTACTCCCTCAAATACATAAACTTTACATTGAGAAATGAACTCTCAAGACCAAGAAGGTGGTAAATACATCAAATAAGCCAATGAATGAGGGCATACCAGTACCAAATTTAGAAATGGTATACTTGAATCAACTGTTTTTGGTTTGGACTGAGTTTCAAATTTATACTTTTAGTTTTAATGTTATCATGCCTGTCATATTTTTAAAAAATGGTCCATACTAATAAAAGAACTGCAATAGTGAAAAATAGAGGCCAGAATAGCAAAGGCAGTAGTTTCTATTCTTGTCTCTCAGGCTTTCCCTGGAACATTGAATTCAGTTTTGGATTGTGCTCTCTGATCAAGCTGGCGAGGGGCATATAGGGAAGAGTTAGTAGAATTGGGCATGTATGGCCCAGAGATAAGACTCAAGAGGATCTTTCAGTTGCTTTGATGATCAGAAGGGCTGATATAGCTTGGATATCTGTCCCCTCCAAATCACATGTTGAAATACGATCCCCAAATGTTGGAGGTGGGGCCTAGAGGAAGGTGTTTGGGTCCTGGGGGTGGATCCTTCATGAATGGCTTGGTGTCCTCTGTCAGTCCTGAGTTCATATGAGATCTGGTTGTTAAAGAGACTGGGACCTACCCCTCTCCCTTGCCCCATCTCGTGCTATGTGACATGCCTTTTCATCCTTTGCCTTCTACCACAGTAAAAGCTTCCTGAGGTCCTGCAAGAAGCAGATGCTGGCACCATGCTTCTGTACAGCCTGCAGAACCATGAGGCAAATAAACCTCTTTTTAAAATAAATTACCCAGTCTCAGGTATTCCTTTATAGCAACACAAAATGGACTAATACAAGGGCTGGCAAGGGAAAGACTCCAACAAGAACAACAAAGATGAGTGTCTTGAATTTGCAAGGAAACTCATTTCAGCTCCAATATAAGAACACATTTTCTACTTAGAAATCTCCAGAGAATGAGAGTGATCCAAAGCAGAACTGAGCTGAGCCAGGAGGCAGACAGCATTCACAAAAAGTAGAGGAACCTCTCCTGGAGGATTGTCATAGGGGAAATTCAGACACCAGGTGGAGGGAACAGAGATCCTTACAACCTAAAGATTTCGGGATCCTCTCATTTACTCTGGGAGATACTTAATTTATGCTTGGAATCACCTATGTATAGAAAACCAAAACTCACCTGCAATGATGGCACTGATTGTAAAGAAAATATGATTAACTGGCACCACTCTTGTCGTATTGTAGAGTTTTGTGGCTTGATTGAGGAACCTAGAGCAGAAGGCACTTACTGGAGCTTTGGCTTTAAGAGACATTCAGCAATAAGTTAACAATAACTTCAAGAAACGCGTGTTCTTTAGCTATAACTACAAAGGGAAAGGAGGTGCAGTGAAAGGGCATTTCCAATCAGCAGTCATAGCTTATATGCATCTGATGTATGAGATCAGATGTCAGGTTTTATGGTCTGTTTAAACCAACAACAGTAACAATGAAAAGCAATTAATCATATTCCGAGGCCACAGAAGTTTGAGTTGGAAGCGATTCAAGCTGCTGGACCAGTATCACACTGGGCCTGATTCATTAGGATAGACCCTAGAATCTGTTAAATATCATATCTGGGGAATAGTAGAGCTATCCATTGACATGCCACGTGCCAAGAAAGAAGATGGAGAAGTAAAGGAATGTTTAATGTTTCAAAAACAATGCTCAGTGCTCCAGCTGCAGAGCATATGTGGGAGCTCAACTTCTCATTCTGGCCACCAACACAAAAGCAGTTCCCACAACTGTGCTGTGCTGCCCTGCTTGGGACTAGATTGTTTTTTGAAGCAGTGAATTGTACTATCACTGGGGTGCTTTTAAAAAGCATGAATGCTTAGGTCCTACTCTAGAGCAATTGAAAAAAGTACTTTGTGGGTAGAGCCTGTGTGTATCTGTGTGTGTGTATGTGTGTGTATACACACACATATGTAGGTATACATAAATGCATGTATGTTCTTATATGCCTGCAGGTACGTATATGTATAAAAGTCAGGTCATATACATGCATGTACATATATATGTACTAAACCCAGGTCATTTTAATGGGCAACCAGGGCTGAGAACCACAGTTGTTCAGTGTGATGGGTGCAGAGATTGAGACAAGGGTGACAGAATGCAGTTTACCCCCAATTGTGTCTGCCTGTCAAATTTACAAAGTATGGTATGAAGATAATGCCACTAATCCCAAAAGATACTGTGGCAGTACCAATTAATTCAGAAGAAGAAAGAGAAAAAAATAGCAAAATGCAAGTATTAGAAACACAGACTTATAAGAAGATGACAAACCAGTGACAAAACATTGGGTTTCTCCAGTAATTCTCCACAGACCTTGTAACAGGGCCTATCTTCAGTCCATAACAATTAGATGGTACTTCTCGCACCTACAGAAGGAACCACTCTTGTACTGATTTTGAGCTCTGATTTCTTGTCTGGGATGGTGCTTTTGCATAGCATTTTGGGGTAAACAGAAAACTTTCAGGTCAACTCAAGAAAGCCCAGCAGGCAAAGGCACAATCCCAGTGTGAGAGATGGAGGGGAAGGGATCAGGGCTGATGGAGGTGGGGGCAGGGAAGAGCAGAAATTAAAAATGTTCCATGTCACCACTATTAGGCCCCAAGAGAAACATAAAACAATCATTCCGCAATCCCATGGATACAAAGGAAATTCTGGCCAAAGATGCAAAATTTTGGGGAAAGGATTTCCCTCCCGGCCAAATGTCTGGTTTCGTCCATCTCTGGGCAATTAGTGAGCATGAGCTAAGAAATGAAGGTGAAGGGTTCATGTGTGTCCTATATTTAGAATGAAAGCCTGGATGTGGACCTGCCCCTTTGATTTATTGCTAATGACAACCTGTGTACCACGGATATTAATTACAAGCAGAAGAGCATCAGGAAAGCATCAAAGTGCACTTAGCTGGATTAAGGCTGCGCTTTAGAACTCACAAGACATGAAGACAACGCTTCGTAAAAACTCATTATTGGATGCAAAGGAGGAAGCAAGGCACATTGACTGAGGACAAGCTACAGGCCCTTCACCCTTAGAAATCAGTTGTATCTCATTTTAATTATCATCTGAAGTCAATAAAGATTAATGCCCAGAGAAGCACAGGAATGTTGAAAGATTAGTGAGTATGCAGAAGCTAACTTACTTGACTTGGAAAACACAAGATGCTATCATGATGATAAACATGATATAGAAAATGGGATAAGTTAGTTGCATTTTATCCATCATAGAAAAAGTGATCATGCCTGAGACGGCCTTTACTGAAATAACAGTCAATGAGGCTGAAAAAGAAAACAAAAAACACAAAGAACATATTTGAGATTGAATTAACAAATAAATATCTTAAGCTTATGTGGTAGAGTAGCAAATACACCAATTATGGTTTAAGAATGAACATGGTTGTGGGAGGTGTAAGAAGGAATGTGACAGTAGTAAGCAGTGGCCTCATTGCTCGAGCCGTGCTGGATTTCAAATTTGCTTAAATCAGCTAAAGTTCTGCTGTGTGACTGTGTGCTTTTTTTTTTTTTAATCTTTGGAGCAAGATGCTTCTTTTCCAGCCCTAACTGTTGAAAGAATGCTGTGGAGGTTATAATTACGAGTAGATGGGAAAGGCAAAAACAATGGAGGGAGGAGATAAGAAAAGTCAGATTGTCCACGTGACATTAATGAGAAAAATAACTATTAAGCTATACTGAAAATTTAAAAACCAAATAGATGAGAAGACTGGAAAGTGAAATGTAACTCACTTCTTGAGTTTACTTAGAGTTGTACTAAGACATTGCTTTTCAGCCTTTTGGCTAAGATCAAGTGAGTTGTACTAAGTCTATATATAAGCCTTTTTGTTAGGAGACACCTAGAAGTTTCACTAAAAATATTTTTGACAATGACAATAATTGGAAAGAGGACCAGAGTTGAGTATTCATTTCTCAGCGTGGACCATCAATTTAAGGTTTACATAAGCAATAACTATGTATTTTCTATGCTAAAGATGAACTCATCCCTTATGAGAACAAACTTTTCATAGGTTCCAAACAGCCATTAAGAAAAAGTAACTTGATAAGGTTATATCACTATGAAAGTAATGGAGCATTTTCCGACAACATCATCTTTCTGTAAGGAAGAAAAGAATGCTTTCTGTCTTATGTCTCTTGAAGTTACTGCTGCAAATAATTCCATAATTTAGCTAAAATTCACTGAAAGTTCAAAAATAATTTTTACATGAAATCAAAAAATTATAAGTCAAAGGCAATGCAAAGGAGAAATACTCCCTTTGTTGCTGTTGAACTACTTGGCCATAATATATCTGAATTTTCCTCCTTTTATTTGAAAAGGTATTTTATATATATATATTTGAAATATATATACATTTAAAACAGCGAGTGGTGGCCAGCCAAGAAGAGTCTTCCATAATATCGTTTTCCAAAAACTGAAAATATACTGTAACTTGAAGGGTACCAGGGCACACTTCCAAATTAGGCATTTTCTTTCAGTTAAAAATCATAATTGGCCGGGCGCGGTGGCTCACGCCTGTAATCCCAGCACTTTGGGAGGCCGAGGCCGACGGATCACCAGGTCAGGAGATCGAGACCCTCCTGGCTAACACGGTGAAATCCCGTCTCTACTAAAAATACAAAAAATTGGCTGGGTATGGTGGCAGGCACCTGTAGTCCCAACTACAGCTAATCTGGAGGGTGAGGCAGGAGAACAGCGTGAACCCGGGAGGCGGAGCTTGCACTGAGCCGAGATCGTGCCACTGCACTCCAGCCTGGGCGACAGAGCAAGGCCAGACTCCGTCTTAAAAAAAAAACAAACCATAATTGACACAGGAGATCAGGTAATAAATTCTAAAAACAAACCCCAGTTCTCAACAAAGAGGCCCTTACAATCAGGTCTCTCTCCATCTTAAGATGTCTTTTGACCTGATTCTTTTACATATTTCCTATTGATTATGCCAATAGTCACATCTTAGCTAACCTAGGCACTTTAAATAGCTATAGAGATCTGTGTGTCACTTGATGGTTTAAGTTTGTAGGTTAGCTCTTGAGGAACCTTGATTCCCTCCTAAACACTGCCTGAAATCAGAGCACAATGTGATTATGATCTTGTGGTCTGAACAGCCAGGTTTCCCAAAGGGACAATTAATGGAGAAGGAGTTGAACGTACGGTTCCATTAGCCTCAGAACCTCAGAATTGCAAAGGACTTTAAAGGTCATCTGATTTAACCACTGTCTGATTTTATATTATACTTAAATAAAGACAAAAACAAAACTAGAATTCTCTGTTATTGATAGCTAAACAAACTATCAATTTCTGTAGCCAATCATTATATTTTTAAAGCATGCGCAATTGTCAACTGATTAATCACTATTTTAACCTGTAAGTTATTTCTAGGCTGGTGTTGAGTACTTCTAAGTATTTTTGGGGGGTAGTTGATGAGGATAGGTGGAAATACAGAATTGTAATGCAGTGTTCTTCTAACATTATACTTAAAAATAGAAAGTACTTAGGTAAACACAGAAAAAAAGACTAGAAGAAACTACATCAAGATATTGTCAGTGGTTATCTCTAGCACTGGGATAATGAATTAACTTTAAATTCATTAAAAAAAACTACAAAAGTAAACACATTCATTTAAAAATTTTTGGAAAATGTGGAAAAGCCTGGAAAGGAAAATTAAAATCACTTGTAGTTTCAGTACTCACCCCAAATCATTTTTGACATTGGGACATATTGTTATTTTCCTATCTATAAGTATGAATATGTTACAACATGTGAATCATAAGGTATATCCTACTTAGGAGCTTATTTTCCAAGTATATACCACTTAGGAACCTATTTACCTAAAGTAAATAGGTTTTACCTAAAGTATTTTCCATGCCATTAAGTATTCTTCTAAAGCATGGATTTGTATGAATTGTATATCCATACAAAAGCATAAAGAATGCTTTTGTATGAATATATAATTTATTTCGGCAATTTCCTATTTTTGGATATTTAGATTGTTTTTTTTTTTTTTTAAGTGTTAAAAGCGTGGCTGTGATGAATATTCTCGAACATAAGTCTTTGTATATCACTCTGCCTATTTCCTTAGGAAAACCACCTAAAGGGGAATTCCTGACTACAGCCACTGTGAGGGCTTGTGAAATATACCAGCAAACTGCCTTCCAGAGAGTACCAGCCACACTCTGTTGTACAGTGCTCAGTTACACAGATTTTCATATTTTTCTTTGTATCTTTCTCTATTTTCTTAATTATCAATAATTACCATATATACTTTCATCATTAGAACAACACCATTTTTTCTAACCTGTGCTGACCTGTTCTTGAAATTTGGCCCTCTCAATTCCCTCTTAGATTTTCATCAATATACCTCCTTCCAAAAATTTTCCTAGGTTGCCATCAACGTTTCCTTATGAGAGCCATAAATATTTTATTTATTAATTTGTCTCTGATAACCAAAGCATTCCATGGATAGAGAAGGACTTCCTGGCCTTCCTAGTTTCCTGACAGTCCCAGAGGCTTTGGAGTACTTTCTTTTTTTTTTTTTTTTTTTTGAGATGGAGTTTCACTCTTGTGGCCCAGGCTGGAGTGCAATGGTGCGATCTCAGCTCACTGCAACCTCTGCCTCGTGGGTTCAAATGATTCTCCTGCCTCAGACTCCTGAGTAGCTGGGATTACAGGTGCCCACCACCACACCCAGATAAGTTTTGTATTTTTAGTAGAGCTGGGGTTTCACTATATTGGCCAGGCTGGTCTCAAACTCCTGACCTTAGGTGACCCACCTGCCACGGCCTCCCAAAGTGCTGGGATTACAGGTTGAGCCACCGCACCAGGCCTGGAGTCCTTTAAGAATGATCACCACCACTGGCAAAGGGGGCCACTCACCAGAAGTCAGGTTTCTTTCTTCTGACTACCCTCACTTGCTATTTTCTTTTTTTAATTCCAGTCTTTATCAATCACACAAGCAATATTATGTATTTTGCTACCTCTCATGGATACAACATGACTTTGATAATCACTTTTTTAAAGGGTACTAATGCTCATTGTGCAGTATTCAAGATGAGCACACGGTGCAGAGTGAGCATCCTGGTTCTCATTTCTTGTTGTAATGAGAACACTTCTGGTATTTCACCAACAAGTTCTTTATTAGGAGTGCATATGAAACTTGATGAACTATATTAATGAATTTCTTAAAGAATCCCTCTTTCATTCCCATAGTTAATTAAATTCACATGTTTACTTTGTGCTCACTGTGCTCAATTCTACTTAAAGAATGTATACTGTAAATAATAGACATGCTCTATGTCCTCATGTAGCTAACCTGGCCAGGAAGAGGGGCTCATAACAGCATATAAACATATAAGTAGAATATGTAAGTGTAAATTGCTGTGTTACAAAGAAGAATCAGTTTTATTAAGACCACTTGGGCCAGGTGCGGTGGCTCATGCCTGCAATCCTAGCACTTTGGCAAGGTGAGGCAGGAGAATCACTTGAGCCTAGGAGTTTGAGACCAGCCTGGGCAACATGGGGATACCCTGTCTCTCCAAAACAAAAATAATAAAAAATAAATAAATTAGTCAGGCATGATACCATGCATTTGTAGTCTCAGCTACTCAGGCGGCCGAGGTAGGAGGATCGCTTGAGCCTGGGAGTTTGAAGCTGCAGTGAGCTATGATTGTGCCACTACACTCCAGCCTGGGTGACAGAGCAAGGCTCTGTCTCAAAACAAAACAAAGACCACTTTGTCACTGAGTATGATTTGCTCTGTGTTTATTTGCTAATTTTTTTTTCGATTTTTGTATCAATATTTAGCGGTGATATCAGTTCATAGTGTTTTTTGTTTGTCCCATTTTTTTCCCAGTTTGGGAGGTGAGTCTTATCTGATTATGTTTTTTTAAAAGTAAAAGCTTTCTTCTTATGTCCTCAAATAGTTGCAACAACATCAGAATAATCTATTCCTTAAGGATTTGAAGATATTACCTTTGGAACTCTCTAGGCCTGGTTCTTTTTTAGGATGTAGCTTTTTAACAACTCCTTTATTTCCTCCGTAGTTATTTTCATTAAAAAATAAGCAATTTATTCAAATTATATATATGCATATCTATTGTTTCTATTTTGGGGTATTTGTGGTTTTTCTTTTTTTCTGATGGAGGATCTATTTTACTGTCTTTTTTTTTTTTTTTTTTTGAGACGGAGTCTAGCTCTGTCACCCAGGCTGGAGTGCAGTGGCGTGATTTCGGCTCACTGCAAGCTCTGCCTCCCAGGTTCACGCCATTCTCCTGCCTCAGCCTCCCCATTAGCTGGGACTACAGGCACCTGCCACCACGCCTGGCTAATTTTTTGTATTTTTTAGTAGAGACGGGGTTTCACTGTGTTAGCCAGGATAGGATGGTCTTGATCTCCTGACCTCGTGATCCGCCCGCCTCGGCCTCCCAGGGCGCTGGGATTATAGGCATGAGCCACCACGCCTGGCCTATTTTATTGTCTTTTAAGAACACATTGTTGTGTTTAGTTATAAATCCATTACTTTTCTCTATTCTATTTCATTAATTTTTGCCTTTTTAATTAATTTTAATTAATTATTTCTGCTTTCCTTAGTTTTATTTCAGTATTTTTTCTAATTTCTTGAGTTGAGTGCTTAATTGACTTACATTTAAAGCAATCAATTTCTCTGAGTACAGCATTAGTCAGAAACTCTAGGTTTAATATTAAGTGTTTTAATAATAATTAAAAAATATGCTGCAATTAAATCTTGGTTTCTACTTTGCACAGCTGCAGTTTAAGGGTAGTGTTAACATTTCCAGGTGGTAGGGTTTTACTGGTTTCTATTTTTATTATTATTTTTCTGTTTTTATTTCACTGTGATCTGAGGATGTGGTCTGTACTCTTTCAACTTCCTGGAATTTATCAAGGATTTCTTCATGGCCAATTATATGATCAACTTTTGTAAATGTTACACAGGCACTTGAAAGAAAGTTTATTCTCTGTTTTCAGGCTTTAGAGTTCAATATTACAGGTACCAGTTCATGATTAATTATTCAGATCCTCTGTCTTTATATGGTTTTCTGTCTAATTATCTTCCATGAGCTGAGAGAAGTCGCCTAAACCCCTTATATTTCTGTTAATGTAGTTTTGCATTTTCTGCAGATTTTCTGTTGCATGTTGGATATGATGTTTTTGTGGATTGTGCTCTTTTTGTCAGGATAAATTACCCCTTTTGTCTCATTTAATATCTTCTGCCTTGATTTTCATTTAGTAATATCATGACCTGCTTTGTTTTACTTTCAACCTGATTTATTTTGTTTTAGATGAAAATGTATGCATGTAGCCAAAACACTTTGCCATCTGCAAGGGCCAATCAGAAAGGGTGCCGGCCCTGGCACTGCTGGAAGAGGGTCCTGGAGGGCTCCTGTCTTAGTACTTATGACAGGGTTGGGGTTGAGAGGAGGAGATCTTAGGGGAAGGAAGCATGGTGGCTGCTATTTTAATAACCCTTACAGCTGTACTAGTGCAAATTGGCTGAATCCAACTTCAGAATCATTTTCAAAATCAATCTGGAAGTTTCCCTGACATCCAATTTGAGAATGTTTCTTTTTTCTTTTTTTTACTAGGTAAACGTATTCCACTTACATTTATTATAACTGCTACGCATTATCTTAATTCTGTTATCTTACATTCCTATTTAAAGTTGTCTTCATTTTCATTATTTTCCTATATAAGGTACATTTTGTTTCTTAGATATCTGCTTTTGTTTTCCCTATTTGGTAATTTGGAAAGAAACAAATATAAAGTTCTCTTTCTGTTCTCTTGATCTACAGCATACCTGAATATAGCACAGAGTACATTTGTTTCTCTAAGTAACTATCAAAAACACAAATTTACTAGCACAAAGGAGAGAACTAGTTCATGAGATGGGAACATGAAAACCCAGCAGCTCATTACCATGGAGGCTACATGCTGCCCCAGGGGTAGGAGTACGGCCTTCCAAGTCATGGCAAACAGCACGCGATGCGTGGGCCATCTGACTGGCAAAGAGGAAATGAAGGAAGATTTACAAATATATTTTTATAAAGGGAATTTCCTAAATGATTAGTGAGATCTCCTAGTATTGGTATATATGAGTGAGAGTGTGTGTGTGTAGGGGTGGGGGAAAGAGAGAGAGAGAAAGAGAGAAAGGGGCAGGGACAGAGAGCAGAAAGAGGCAGAAAAGAAGGGAGTGAAGATACATTAAAAAATACATAGTGGGCTTATCTAAGCACTATTTCCATCTCTAACAAGGTGCCTCTGGAAAAACAAAGTAAATGGGTTGGTAAACAATGAATGCAAGAAATGTGGTATTTAAGAAAATCATACTGCTTACATCTACATTTCCTATTAGTCATATTACAAAGTTTTTAAAGAAAATATTAATAGTATAGGTCTTGCTAACCAATTCCTGACACAAGAGTTTCAACTGGGATCATTAATTTGTTTCTCTTTTAAGATTTTCAATTACTTATTAACAAAATATCTTCAAATTATCAGGGAGCAAATAAAGTTATCAAGAAGCAAAAAATCCTTAAATATATTTTAAAAAGAATTAAATATCTAACCAATTGCAGTAATGGACAGGCAATATATAATTTTTATAATTTAGACTCAGTTTCTTCCTGTAGATCAGAGCTGAAAAATATAAACAATGAGAAAGGAGTAGAATGCGTAAGTATTTTCCTTCAAACCTCATTTATGATTCAGCACAGCTCAATTAAAGAATAAGAAAACAAAATATGCCTTTACCTAGAAGTGCCACCAGGGTTAGCAGAATCACCATGTGCTTCATTCCTTTTCTTTTGTAGAAATATAGGAGAATGCAGAAAATTAATATTTCTAAAATCTAGAAATGAAAAAGATGAAAAAGAGTAAGTTATTCTACACAAAGTCTTCAAAATGTCACACTTCTCATTTTCAGTTTTGCAGCAGTTCTCATATGAGAGTTGAGGATGACTGAGGTTCCTAGGGACGACACAGGAGAGCAGCATAAGCACCTCGGCCATCCAGACTCGGAGCTCGAACACCCCTCTCCGCCAGTGATGCCCAATCTAGATCTCCAGTCCTAACCTCCCTGGGAGTTCAGCCTCATTTCCTCAAGTATCTACGGGACATTTCCACATGCATGTTTAATAGACACGCCACAGTAATGTGGGTAACACCTCCCACTTGATTCTCTACCTTCCCAGCTTGTTCCTCCAGGGCCTTTGCCCTCCAGTTAGTAGCATTCCCACACTCCCTGTTGCACAAACCCCAAACCCTTCCCTTTCCCTCACTCCCTGCCTTCCTCTCTAGACAGCTGCATTTGCTTCTAACTCATCTCTGATTTTCCTCTTGCCTCTCTATAATCCAGCCATTCCACAGCCAGAGGAATCATTTAAGAACACAATTTGGATAATGAAATATTTTATTCATGGAGAACATATATGATACACATCAAAGGGATTTAGAGTAATATGACAGGCACTCACAGATTCTCTACCCAGACTAACACACAGAACCTACTGACACCTCTGAAGTTGCTCATGTGCCCCTCTCCAGCTGCACTCCCCTCCTCCTTCAACCTCCCCAGGAATCACTATGCTGAAAATTTGTGTTTATTATTTACTTTCTTTCTAGTTTATCGCATTTCTATGTGTCCCTAAATGGTACCCAGTTTATTTTTGCACGTTTGGACTTTATACAAGTGGACTCATACTTGCTTTCACTTGTTTGTTTTTTTTCCACCATGTATTATATTTGTGACATTCTTCCAGGATGATGCATGTAGTAAAAATATAAACTAGACCCATTCATTCCTTTGCCGAAACCTCCTGTGGTTTCCTACCACATTTAGAATAAAATCCAAACTTCCTTCTGGATCACAAAGTTTTAGACAACTCCCTGGACCTCATTTTGTACCACTCACTCCTGGATGGTCCACTCTGTGCCAGCCTCATGGCAATTTTAAAAAATTCTTTTTTTTTTTTTTTCCTAGTTCTTTCCAATCTTCAGATTGCTCCTGCCTGTGGGCCTTTGCACTAACTGCTCACTCTGCCTGGAATGCTCTTTCACTGATCTTTGCACAATGGCTCCTCCAAGTCACTCAGCTCACAGGTCAAATGCCACCTCTCTGAGAGTTCTTCTCTGACTCTTCTGATCTAACGGAGCCACTCATTATCCTGTCACACCCCCAGCTTCAGGTCGCGGTGGAGCATTTTGCCATCATCATTTCTTGTTCATATGTTTATGTGTTTCGTGTCTGTCTTCCCTACTGGAATGCCAGCCCTAGGACAGGAATCTTACCCACTCTTTTTGCCACTCAGTATCTGGTGCCTGGCACACAATTGGTCACTCAATGAGTACTGATGGAATTAATGAGTAAATCACACCTCAAATTTATTATGAATAAGTCGCCAAAAAAGACCTAATGTCTGAAAAAGTGACTGTTCAATAAATATTAATTGACTAAAAGTCTAAAATTTTCCTGTCCTTAAGAACTTTAGTGTAGCCGGGCGCGGTGGCTCAAGCCTGTAATCCCAGCACTTTGGGAGGCCGAGACGGGCGGATCACGAGGTCAGGAGATCGAGACCATCCTGGCTAACCCGGTGAAACCCTGCCTCTACTAAAAAAATACAAAAAAACTAGCCGGGCGAGATGGCAGGCGCCTGTAGTCTCAGCTACTCGGGAGGCTGAGGCGGGAGAATGGCGTGAACCCGAGAGGCGGAGCTTGCAGTGAGCTGAGATCCGGCCACTGCACTCCTGCCCGGGCGACAGAGCTAGACTCCGTCTCAAAAAAAAAAAAAAAAAAAAAAAAGAACTTTAGTGTAATTTTGAGTTCTCAGTTTTATTTTTGTTTTAACTTTTTTTTTTTTTTTTTTGGAGATGGAGTCTCACTCTGTTGCCCAGGCTAGAGTGTAATGGCTCGATCTCGGATCACTTAAACCTCTGCCTCTTGGGTTCAAGTGATTCTCTTGCCTCAGCCTCCCAAGTAGCTGGGATTATGGGTGCTGGCTAATTTTTGTATTTTTAGTAGAGACAGGGTTTTGCCATGTTGGCCAGGTTGGTCTTGAACTCCTGACCTCAAGTGATCCACCCTCCTTGGCTTCCCAAAGTGCTGGGATTATAGGCATGAGACACCGCGCCCAGCCCAGGCTATTTTTGACGAGATAGTATTCTTGGACTGAATTCGTAAGTGTGAATGTTTACTTTTCTAACAGCAGACAGTACCATCACTAATTTTTTTTCTCTTTTTTTTTAACCACAGGAGTTAGGGACTTCACTATTTACAGGAATGCATTCTACCTACAACGCCTTCTCTAAATCAACTTAAATTTGTTTCCATTCAAGGATTTGCTTGTGGGTTTGTTTTTTTCTCTATTCCTTTGTGGGCATGGGAAACAGCAGGCCCTTATCTTCCTCATTAAAAAACCTTTTCATCTAATACGGAAGATGAAATCATCCCTTTGTCTTTTCTTCTCCTGGTAAATTAAACCAATTATTTTAACTGTTTCTTATGGGACTTATTTGCCAGACCTTTAATTTAATTGAGTAGTGCTACAAAAGCTATTAAACTTGTATCTCTTTGCCTTCCCTAAAATGGCCAACAAAACATTGGATGTCCTAATTTCTGTGCATTTCGCCAATTGTTAACAGAAATATCCCTCTGGGCCTGGTCTCCCCTCCACCATAGGCTTCCACTTCTCACATGAGACAATTATAGATAGTTCACAGCAGGGTTTGGGCCTCTGTGTTTGTTGCGGGAGAAAAGAAAGCTCTTCCTGCGTTAACACACAGAGCCTGTTAGGTAAATTGATTATCATGCTGATTATTAATTTTTGCAGGTATTTGTTATTAGGTCTAGAAACCATGTATGACTTTTTTCATGTGTGGGCAAATTCCATCTCTGTGGCGTCAGATAAATAAAACATGAGTTCCCATTATTCACAGAATAACTATAGTTGCCCTGGTTCTGCCTTGTGGCAAGAAGTCACACAGCTCCTAGGAATAAAATATTAAAGCAGTATGAATTAATGCTGATTTTTTTCTAGCAACATTTTTTTTTTTTCTCCCTGAAAACATCAATATTAAAGAAGCTGTGATTTCTGCAGGTTGCGGTGCCCCAGGAAGGGGCTGCATTATTGATTGCAATCTCACAGGTTAGAAAAAGTAACAGCACTTACTGAGTCCCCCGCACCCTGCCCTGTGCACTGTTCTCAGAGCTTCCTGTTAGGAATTCATTGAATCCTCACAATCACTTAGGAGGTAGGTGCTATCATCGGTTTACAGGTGAGAAAACTGAGGCTCAGAGGGGCAAAATGATGCAGCTCTGATAGGCAGCATGATGGCCCCATAGGAGTCCCTGGTCTAATCTCCAGACGCTATGAAGATGTTACTTTACCTAGCAAAGGGGTTTTGTATTAGGTTGGTGGGTTGGTGCAATTCTTCTTTCCTTTGTTTTCTGTACCAGATCAGAGGAAAAAGTTCCTGGGCCTTGTACCTGTGAGGCTTCCATTTAATGTAAGCCTTGAAGGAAAAACAGACAATTTTCAATTTTCCCACTGAAAATAACTACCTTCAATGGGATAAAACCTCAATTACTTTTGCACCAACCTAATGCAAAGAGCACTGGCAGCTGAAGGGGTGTGTGGCAAAAGAGATAGACAAAATTTTAGCACTGGATGCCCCACTGCCAGTACCAATATCTGAGCCCGATTTGACCTCATCTTGCCTCACCAAGTTCTCAAACGCATAGCCTATGGCCATAGCATATGGCTTCTCTGTCCAAAAGAAATGAGCTCTGCAAAGTTTCTCTCTAAGGCCATATTTGGACAAAGATCTGATCCTTGGTGGTCGGTTTATTAATTCTGCAGAGAGGCATTGAGTGAGGCGTATTGGCATGTGCACCCCAGAAGTGGACAAACTGGTTTTGAGTTTTGGCTTTATCACTTAGTACTTATGTGACCTTCAACAAGTTCCTGGGCCTCCCCCAGCCTCAACTTCCCCATCCATTAAATGCAGAGGATAACAGTGTCCCACGTATAGGGCCAGTGTGCAGGTAAAGAGCAGAATGTAATCTGAGCTAGACGTAGGGCTCAGCCACTCAGAGAGTGGCTGCTGCTACCAAAGAGGTGGACTCTTGTGTGGACGCACAAGTGCTATTTGCATTCAGACAATAAATCAAATAACATCATGCCATAGATATTGATATCCTATAAAAACATACAGTTTTCTCCCTTAGGTTTCTAATACCTGATGGTGGGTTTTGTCGCAGCTTTGCCAGAAAGGCTGACTTAATAATCAGGTTTAGGGTACAGAATGACACCAAATGACAGGCTTGGCCCCAGCATCTGCTGGTTTAATTTTTTTGTCTGAGAGAAAATGAGCAATGTGCAGATTATTTTGTGAAGGATTTTATGTTCACAAAAAAGGTTTCCATTTGAATAGTCTTTTGGAAAATCTGGGTGAGCAAAATAGCCATGACCAAGCCTGCCAAAGAACATGAAGTAATTGAGAATTAGGGCTGCATTTTCTAACGTGGTTTTTGCAGAACACATTTACTCATAGGTATTACTCAACAAAAGGTCCTTCCAAGAAAAGGGCCTCATGGTCGAAGTAGCCTGGAGCATGTAGGACGAACAAAATCAAACCTTTCTCATTCTTATAAGACTTCTGGCTTTTAACATGCTAACAGAGATGATGAATTTTTCAGACAGGCCATGCTATGCAGAATTTTCCTCACCTAGTTTGACCTTGAAAATCCCACTTCTCTTTGTGTTTTGGCAAGGATCGGGATTGCCCGTCTACGGCAGACAGGCTGGGAAAGGCTGTTTTAGTGAGTGAGTGGAGGGCACTTTATTCTTCTCT